GAAAACCTGAATATCCAAATTTTTAATGTGGGGAAAAAAATGTGTTTTAATTTATCTGATCATCTCTTCATTGCTTCAAACCCTAATTTCTAACTGCCATATTCACTGTGTAGATTATTCCAATAAAACAACATAACATTGCAGTCTATTTCAACTAAAAGGACCTACTTAAAGGATAAAAAAAACCAGATTTGATAGCAAGTTTTTGCTGTATCAAATTACTCCATCTGATCAAGGCTCCCCAGTGCTGTGCTGCATGCTTTCACTGATCTAAATCTGAGAAAAAATCATGCTAAGGAATTTGCCTGCAGTTTTTTGGGGTATTTTTTTTTTTTTTGGGTTGTTGTTGTTATTTGGTTGTGGGGTTTTCAGTTGTTATTTTTTGGATGGGGTTTTTTTGGCAATTTTTTTTTTTGTAATAACAGGCTGCTGTCCCAAAGTTTGGAAATGCTGGTTTACACTATTCATAAACTCACAGTAGATATGTATATACAGATATTTATGGATATATGAACTTGAGATCTAATTTTATATTGGAAGTGCCTTACAAATTCATAATTGTTTGGGTCTAACTGCATGTGTAGGATGGCCAGTAACTGTAACATGTTTTGTTGTGGAATTTGCTCATTTTCTTTGCACTGAAGGTATGCATCAATTCCTGGCTAAAAACAAAAATACTATGAGCAAAATCACAAACTTCAGAAAGTCCCTAGCATGCACAAAGAAACTTACATATTACGAGCAAAATCTTGGGAACTTTTGGTCTTGTTTTCTAAGAAAATATCACTGCTTATATCACTGTCCCATATATGGATCTGTTGAGTTGTTTGTCACCACCCCACATCCTTCCCCAGTAAGGTGTGAACAGGTTACCTGCTGTCAGCCTGATGTGTTAGAAATCTGAAAGATATGAGAAAGGGAAAATCAGCAGTAAAGAAGCCACCACTGACTGTCAGATACAGTGAAAACTTCTCCTTTCCAAGCTGTGAATGACATGGCAGAGTTAGGGAGACAAAGGGTAACACATATGCAGGCCAAGTGAGCATCAAACTTGGTCCAACACCCAGTGTCCTTTGGAGTGACAGGGAAAACCAGAGGCAGGAGACTTGGAGGTATGCCTAGGGACAAAAAGGGAGCACACTCATGTGCAATGGGAGAGAAAAAGATCCTTGTGAAACAGAGCACAAGGGCTTCCAGAAAGCCTGGAGGCATTTGGATAGCAGGGACAATTTCTGGAGAGAAGGGAAGACTGCAGGCCTTTTTGGGAGGAATGCAGGAGATTGTGCACAGATCTTTATAAAACTGGGTTTGCTAATACTGCGGTCACAATATTTGCCTGAGGGAGGAGAGAGATCCCATCCCTTTTTAACACCTCTAAACTCTCCAGCTGTAGCAGCTCCATGCTTCAGGGGCAAGGAAGTCTACTTCAGTATAGCTTAGTACTGGCTGGAAACCAGCACTTGTGGGAGCCTTACAAGAAATCCTTCCAATTCATGCAGCAGATACGAAAAACCTAAACCAATCCAGCAATGGAAGTGGTCTGACCTGTCCAGGTGAGCTGGATTCACCCGTGGGATGCTTTTGCAGCCCCTCCTCAGAGTAAGGTGGTTCCAGCAGTGCAGACCAATGAAAGCAGTTGTTAGAGGAGGAGGAGAGCCTTTCAGTACCTGACCCTGGGAGTCTGAGCTTCTACAGCTATGCCTGCATAGGGAAAGCCCTGCCTTCAAGGGGGACGTGTCCCCCACGAACCCTGCTGGCAGCTGCCACCTCCCCAGCTGGACACAGAGGCACCCAGGGAGCCTGAGGCAGCCTCAGTTGCTGTGTGGCACCAGGCTGGGCTGCCCAAGCAGCTCTCTGCTGACTTCTGCTCAGGGCAGCTTTGGCATCCCTGTTCTGCCCAGGACCAAGTCCCAGAGGGCACAGTGGGTCAGTGGTGAGCACGGCCCCAGGTATAGTACCTGTGCATAAAATGCAAATTCAGCATTCCATACTGACGGGGGCGGATGTGTGGATATCTGTCTGCCATGTGCTGCATGCATTTGGGAATTCCAAGTGCACAGAGCAAGTAAGCTGTGTGGAGCACAGAGCAGCACTGGTGTGCAGAGGCCAGAAGAGCAGGGGGATGTGGATTTGTGTCCCTCAGCCAGCCTGCAGCGAGCAGTTCAGGGACCTTGCACATCCCAGCAGGAGCAGAGAGCTCAGGGCATCCCCCAGCAGCAGCCAATGGCCTGGCAGAGAAGCAAACCCTCATCCTCACCTCCTTCCTGGTAAGGAGCCTGTGCAGTTCCACCCTTAATGTGCTTTAGATAGAGGAGGCCCAGTGCAATTACGATGTCCATATGGAGAGTCAGTGCAGCATAGCTGGTGCACTGCAAATTCAGATCCTCGCTCATGGAGAATTAATTATCTTGTAGGCAAGCCATGTGCCACTGAAATCCTTTATTACAGTATGGAATATGTGGTCTTTGAGGAAGGCTGGCCCAAAAGAAATGGGGGACTAAAGCTATGATTGGCAAGGGAAATACATTGGTAAGAAATGCAGTTTTATGCCAAGTCAGTTGATTCAAAACAATCTGGCTTGTTTTTCAAACCCATTTCCCCCCAGTAATCTTGGTCAAACAAAGTACAATAATAATAATAAAAAAGGAAATGTTTTATTTTGGTTTTATATAGAAAAAAAAAGTACTTTTAAAATTAGAATTTAAATTTTAAAGTAGAAATATTTTGGTGTATGTGTCTTTTGTAAAAATTAGTTCATCTGTAAAATACGGTTTCTGTAGAAATTTTTCATGTGGTTTCAGTTTAAAAACGTAACTTCTCCAAACCTGTATCTGCTATACCTTCACAGAAGTCAACAAATTTGAACCAGAATGAACAATCATCTTACACAACATGCTTTTCAGGAATGACAGATTTTTCTTCCTCCCTGGAATCAAAATATCACTGGAAGTAAATCTGCATCACTACTGTACCTCTATAGCAAGAATTGTCTTAAAAATTATTATTATTTGAGAACTAGGTCAGTCAATTGTCCAAAAATAATAAGAAAGAAAGAAAGAGAGAAGAACTGTTGGAAACAAATCCTTATTTCAAATTTCTGTTATACTGCTCTTGAGGCAGTCAGGCTTGGGTATAGTTAATCAACCTTTGAGATGGAGATTGGGTTGTGTGTCTCTTATCTTCATTCTCTGTGATTTTAGAAAAACATATGCATGTGTGAGGGCACTTCGTTGTTCCTCTGATGATTTAGCAAATCTTTATGGGATGGTTTTGTTTCGTGCTATGAAATGCAAATTTAGCTTGCAGTGCTCCTGCTGTCTGTATAAAGGTTAAAAAGATATATAGATATACATTTAATACTATTCTTGCCACTTTAAGAACTGGCTTTGAATGATGATTCTAACACCATAAATATTTTTCACTGTCTACATTTTCTGAATTAAGTTGAAGGGCTTTTAGTTGCCTTTTCTTGAAACGTTGCAGTTTCAATTTTGAAAGCATAGCCCAGCTGCAAAGACTGTCTTGGTTGTGAAAAAAAAGTGGAAGCAAAGTTATGAGTATTGAAAATCAGATGAAAAAGAGGTTTTTATATATCCTACAACCATCTTGTGGACCAATCTGAGCACAGATTTTTTTGTGTATCAGCTGATCATATGTATTCAATTTTTCTTTCACTCTTTTGCTAGTGAGTTCTGTGCCACTGAAAGAGGATTTTTTTGTTGTTGGTGGTTTTCATTGCTTCAGATTGGGTTTCATACTAGTCTTGTTCTTTGCCTTCTCAACAGATAAAGATGAAAAATGCTTTCCACTTTCTTTCTCTTACAAGATGTTTACTGGTAGCCTTAATCATCCATCTGTTCTTTCAGGTCTTTTTTCTGCTCTGACTCATTTTAACACTTACCAGCTTCAAGTTCTGGTTCTCCCAAAAATCCTGAGAATGCAGATAAAAATTCCTTTCTCTTAAATCTCAATCCCTTGCTTTCTAACTTGTTGTTAATATTGTGTAGGGCACAGGATAAGCAAGGGAGGAAAACACATGGCCTGGCCATGTTCTGGGGCTGGTTTTTAGCTTACATGCCAGGGTGAGGCAAAGACAAACCGTAGAGATGAAATCTGGATTCCACGCAAACCGAAAAATAAAACCCCATCTTTTAAAACAATTCTTTAGCCATTTTTAAGGATTAAGCTCAGATAAGACAAATACATCCATGTAATTCACATGACAGCAGCCTTTTGCCTCTAGTGAAACCAGGTCAGTGGGAGCAGCTCAAACAGAGAGGAGTTTGATGCAAAGAACCACGCTTGGTGCTTTTCTCATAACACTGTAAATATTTTTTCAGAGTATAAACTTGTGTATCCATTGGCATCAGGGCCCTTTCCACATGGGATGCTCCTTGGAAAAGTACCAAGGGGGCAGGACAGTGAACTCCAGTGAACATGGCACTCTGAGAGGGCAGGGGAAGCACCCTCAGCCAGCTAGCTGTGCCCTGCTGAATGTGGTGAGAGCAGCACCTTGCCTTTCCATATTTCCATTTTCCATCAGGACAGGCCAGAGGGAATGCCTGAGAACGGGGTCACTCCCTGCAGTAAGGCATGATGCTAATGAGGCAGAACAAATTGAGGAAGTATCATGTGTAATCCTGAGCCCTCATTGACACTATTACCAGTATAGATTTCAATTCACCATTCGTTACACGGTTAATGCAGGCAAAGTGGGAAGGTGTGGAAGAATTACTCTTCCAGTCCTTGCATTTTTTAAACAGTTGTCATCCTCCAAGACAAAACTCTGTGGTAATTCCCTCTGTTTTTGCTCCTGCTATTTCTCAGCAGGATTTGCTGCTTGTCTTGCAGGGGGTCAGCCAGACTTTGTCTTTCTCACAGTTTCAATTTCCTACTGGGATTAAGGGTCTAGTATATTCCTGCAACAAATCAACTGAACCTAAAATCAACAAACCTACTGAACAACACGACTCTGGTACATGCCTGCATTTTTGGTGCCAGCTGAAAGGCTTTTATAAGGATTTCCAGAGGGAAACTGAGGCAAATACATGGTTTTACTGAATGCTCATCAAAGTTATGGCACATTTTGTACTTTGTGAGGCTTATTTTTTAGGAGTGTTTCTTCAGATGTGCTTTTTTCCAGCCATGCACTCTGTGATTCTTCCCAGAAATGGTACTTTACATTACTTTGAGGAATCCCAGGGTACCCTGCAGACAATGAATAATAGTTTGTCACTGTAAATTTATGACAGAAAAGAGTACAGATTTATCTGCAGATTGAAAATCCCAGATATTGATTTTCATGCCTCCCTCTTTTCACTCCAGGAGCTCAGTGATGCCCTCTTTGGCCTGAGGAATCTCCCCACAAGCTGATCCTCTCTGAAATCCTGGTCCTCCTGATGGTGGGTCCCAGGAAGGTGGCCTGTCCCCACACTGCCACCAAAGGGATGGGGACAAGAGGCAGGTTCCCATCCAGGTGGTGAGCAGATGCTCAGCCTGCCTGCCAAGGGAGCTGCCCTGCAGGTCACTGTGTCCTCCCAGCCCTTTCCAGCCCCTGCTGGTCACCCCTGGGCTTCCACAGCCCCTCTGTTTTCCCACGGGCTCCTGTTTCCTTCTTCTGGGGACTCTTCTGCCTCTTATTGCAGAGGGAATTTGGAGGCTAGGCTGATGGCTCACCTGAGCAAACAATACCTCCTGAGCAGCTTTACTCAGGTGTGGGGGCCCCTGGCTGCCAGGAAACCTGCTGCTGTCCCAGAATATTACATAGGAACAAAACTGTAAATACATTGTTCCCAGAAAAGGGAATAACCTGCAAACCAAGGCACCCACCCCAAAGAATAACCTCTGGTTCATTCCTTCATTGAAAGGCACTCACAACAGTGCAACACCAATACTCATCTGGATCACAGCTTGCATGCCTGTTTCAAGTGACACGTTAACTGCTGCTTCATCAATAAACAGAGACGTTTTTGAAGAGGAATAGAAATGTCTCCACAGTGCTGAATGCATTTTAAATGAGAAACGGGATGAAACTTTCACAGAGATGTGACAAAATAGAAGACTCATAACAGAAACAAGGTGTTTGACAATGAAACACAAAGTTATTACTAGCACTTGATGAGGAAGATTTTTATTAGTCACCTCTATTTGCTTCTCATAAATACTGAAGCCATATAATGCCCCTATAGTAATGGCCACTGCACAGGAGTGTTTTGATAGTCATGGAAAATGTGCTGTGTGAGACAAACAGCACTTGAGGCAGCAGATCTGATTAGGAATTGTACTCCAGGTGTGCTTGTGTTGGGATGCCTGTAATTCTCATGTCAGATACTTGCTGTGCTGAGAAGCTTTGGGCTGCAGAACTAGTTCCTGTTCAACTCAGGAGTTTATTTTCTGGGCAAATGCACAGGTTTGAGAGCAAAAAGATATTAAATTTGGCTCAGATATAACTATTTCCATAGAAATGTTCTGAATTTGAAAGGTCTTTGGCTGAAGTTCTTGGCATACTTTCAAATGATCAAATGTCACAAAAAGTGGTTACTTTTGATCTCATTAACAAGCTAAATGAACGACAGTCTAAATGTAAAATAGCATTTTGATGATTTAAATTTTTATCAGGCTGCTTCAAATTGAAAGGTTGATTAATTTTAATAGGATTTCTACCATAAATGGGAAAACTGTCCAAATTTTGTTACCAATACATTTTTCACTTGAAATGCTCTGAAGTAAAAAGATACTTAATCAGGTAACTAAATCCAAATTAGGCCAGCCTGCACTATTTCCTTCTCTCTCATTCATAAGTGCCCCTTAAATTAATTTCCAGGTGTTTATGGACAAGCAGATATGCTCAACATGAAATGGCAGCTTTTTGTGCAAATTCGAATAAATACTTCGTTATTCATATCAGCTATAAATTGCAGCTAATTTGAAGTCCTGTCTGAAAAACTTTGTTACAAAAGCTGTCAAAAATTAGTTAAAAAAAAAAAAAAAAAGGAGAGGAGAAAAAATCTCTTATTAATGTCACTGAATTTAATCAAAAAATGTCTACTGCTTAATAGATAGAGAACTGAAGAAGTTGCAGAATTGTAAGACATGATTTCTCACTTTAAAAAGATAGGTTTCTATTGGCCTGGCTGTGTAAGGTTTCCTCAACTATGCATAGTTTTGACCCAAAAAGTTTAAAGGGTTGAAATAAAAATGCAAATCTAACTGCTGGACTTTTAGCACAAAAGGTTCTTTGGAAGGCAGTAAAATACTAAATATCACATTGTTATCTTCTTACTTTTATTTACATATTGGGGCATTTTGCTTCTTTCCTTGCTTTTTTTTCCTGCCTCCTTTTTCATTATTTCAGTGTTTCCTTTTATGCTGGAAATTCACTCTGTTTAGTAGGAGACAATAATCCTGTACCTACTTGAAACACAAGGACCTTTCCTAATTAGAAAAGAGTGGTTTGTGTGTTATGCCATGTCCTGCATTTGGATAACAATAGAAAATTAATAACAAGCCATGAAAGGAAGGTAGCTAATATGTTTTGTTTTGTAAGATTATGAAGTTGATCAGCCTTTTTGAAATTAATTTTATCACTGACATCCTGTAGCAATAAATGATCAGATTTATTATACATAATTAGCAATCATTTATTATTTTACCCACTGTTTGTAATGCCAGAGATAATTTCCTATTCATTATGAGCTAGGACAGATATTCAGCAAACAAAATAATCTGCACAGTGCCAGTTTGTAAGTACATATATAGCACCGAGGGAAGCTGAGGGGACTGGAAACTAAAAATCCCAAAGTTTCTTCAATTTGTGGTTGAGTTTTCATGGCACTTGAGATTGAGCCACATAAATTGTGTGCCCCACGTTCCTCCCCTGGGTTCTGGCAGTGACAAAGCCTGCCTTCCTGAAGGGTTTTGATAGTCCTGAATGAAAGAACAGGGTATTATTATAGTTACAGCTCTTATAGCTGTGGTTTTTTCCAGCAGTGTGAGCTGTTGGAAATTGAGAAAATTTGCTTGCAAATAATAAAGGATATTTGCTTCAGCAGCCCTACCTCTCCCCATCTTCCTGTTTGTCATTCTAATGGTAGGTACAAATATGCATCTTTGCTGCATTAGAACAAGAGTTATTTGCCCTCTCCAAAGAAAGCAATAGATTATTCTTCAAAGTTAACTGAGAATGGCATATGTTTTCCCCTTTATGTTTCTTTTTTAAAGTCAGCTTGTGAAAACTGCGAGATTGAACATGAACTTGCAGGGTCTGCGGACATGAAACTCAGTGGGGGAGCAACACAAATAAAACCAGAGGAGACAGAAGTTCTCTCCCATGAGCTGGAACCTCACAGTTATATTCCTACATTTTAGTTCTTTTGAACATGGATTTCTACACCAAAGTAAAAGATATTTCAAATGGCAAATAGTAAAGGGAAGATCAAATCTGTAAGGCCTACTCTATATACAGAGATCTAGTTGAGAGGTAGTACAATGTCAAATATAATTTCAAAGCAGTGCTGGGACACACAGAATCACAGAAGAGGGACTGGAATGAACTGCCAGAGCTCATCTGCTCCAGCATCCCAACAACTAAAATCCAGTTCCCAACAATCATGTCTGGAGGGAAGATATTCAAGAATAGAGACTCCACTACACCTCTGGACAAACTGTTCCTCTGCTCAGTCACCCACACAGCAAAGAAAGAATTTCCTGTGTATTAGGAAACTCACAAGTTTATTAAATCCACTCAATTTCCAACTGAATGTCAACAACTTGTTGCTGGATTCTCCCTTTCTCTTAATTGTATTTAAAAGTAAAGACCCTCTGTGTAAACAGGTATATGATTTCCTCACAGCTACTAGCAACTTGAGCACTGATGTGATTACAGAATTGGGAAATAGATCACCCATTATTCAGCAGAAATAGTCTGCATGTGGCAGATGGAATTCATTCAGGTAAAGCTTCCAAAAGTGATGCAGCTCTCAGCACTCACTCACACTTTGACTGTACCCAGCTGAAATATTTGTCCTGGTTTATGAGAGAAAGAGGGGTACAGTCTCTTATTGGCTGGTAGAAGAAAAATTAAATATTCTCTAAAAAGGTTTTTTTCAGTTCCATAGATAGACTGGGAGCTCAGCTAGCACACAACCCACAGAATTTCTTCACCTGCCATAAATGATGCAGGTATGGGGTGACTCAGGAGAGCTGGTCAAAACAATTTTTGGGTTATTCCCCTGCGCAGACCAAGGAAAAAACAACCAGAAAATGCTCCAAAGATGTCATTTTCCCCTTGGTCTGTCAACTCTCTATTACAGTTTTCACAGTGTCCAGTGCTCAAGCCCCTAGAACTTCAGAGAGGGGAATTTGTAACATCCCCACCCAAAAGTGTGACAACCAAGGGGAAAAAGCATCATCTCCAGGCCATAAACCAATTTTCTTTTGCTTTGAAACATGAAGCATGATTATCCTTGCTGTGCTTCCATGCTTAAATTTGGCAGGTGTCCTAGAGAAGTGGAATTATCCTTTATCTCTCCTGGAACCTTGAGAGTAGATTTACAGATGTGAAGCTGCACAACTGGCATTAGCATTCACGAGAGGTTTGGCTGTGACTTCAGCTCAGTGGACAAAAAAGGTTTCTCTTGTTCCAGCCTCTTAATCCAAGCATATTTCTATATTGCATAGCTAAGGGAGGTACATATTCTAGGTCATTCACAAATATTTGAAGGCAGCACAATACCTAAGTTAAATCTTTTGACCTGTTTTTAGTCCATACTGGGCATACTGGGACCAACTTACAGCAATACAATGAGACAAAGGTTTGAAATTGGGTGCAGACAACTTTACAGGCTATGCATCCATTGATAATTTTTAATCTACTCTCATACTCTCAAAGTAATGTATATCTAAACATATCTTACTTTTCGTTGTCAGCATCTTCATAGCACAATTTTTTTAAAAGCTAGCAGCTTCAGCACAGGTTTTCCTTGAATACCTAAAAAACAAAAAAAAAAAAAGGAAAAAAAAAAAAAAAAAAAAAAAAAAAAAAAAAAAAAAAAAAAAAAAAAAAAAAAAAAAAAAAAAAGGAGGTTGGTAGAAGAATGTGAATGATCTAAGAATGAGATGCTTTCATCTCCTGAAACATTTCAAACATGCTAAAAAATAGATTGCAACACTAAAAAAATAAAGACTTCAAAATATTTAAAATAAGTCCTTTTTCTTTTTTCTTGAATTATTCTGCAAAACCTGAGACCTGAAACTCCTTAAAGTACTTGCATTGTAATTTCTTGCTTATATACTTTCAAAAGAAATCCCATTTTCACTTAAAGTGTGTCAAGTAAACATTTATTTATATATTTTTACAGAAGGAACTAGAGCAGGCAGCAAGTAGAATAAAAACACCTGCAAACATTTCAGACTGCTATTCTTTTTACTTAAATTTGAAATATTCACCAAGAACTTGTCAAAATGTCCCATTCAGCATCACTGTCCAGCTCTGGCTCTATTTTAAAGAATAAGATTTTCAACTTTCCTTCTCTTCTTTAACTTATTTTTTCAGAAGCTGTCTTTATCTCAGAAAAAGAATGCAGTATCAGTCATTCACTGATTTTGTGGTACTAGCTTTACCGTGGAGGATACATATTTGATTTTTAGTTATTTTTGCATAGATACTTATATTTTTATAAAATATATACACAGATACACATACACATTTAGCTACCACTTTGAAATGGTGCATGTTTTTTCCCAGGACTCTGAGAGCAAAATACATTAGTGAGGGGTCTCCTAAAAGAGAACGGTTAACAACAGCAGCAGACAGAAATTTAGAAAGTCAGGATTTTTGGTGGCTTCAGTTCAGAGTTTGATGTTACTATTGGAGCAGTCTTGGCATGTTTTGATTTTGCTTTGTGTCTCTTAAGTGTGCAGAAGGAAGTGTGGCAGGGACAGGTTCCTGAGGTGTTGGGCAGCAAATGGTAGATGCTTGAGAATCAGGAACATGACAACTTGGGCAAGGGACTGGTGACATTTTGCCAGTTTGATTATAATACCTGGCACATCTGTGGCATCCCCAAACAGCCTATAATTTAGCTAAAACATCATAAAGATATTCAGTGTCATAAAAGCAACATTTTATTTAACCTTCCTGTAACAACTTTAAGAACAGTAATCTGTTAGAGTAGGCTGCATGTCTGGCACATGATAGTGGATGAGAATGAGTAATCAAATCTTAAATATGTATTTGTAGCAGTATTGCCTCAAAGTTTTTGTAAACATGGCTAAAAAGTATGTGATGGGAAAGCAAAATAACATTTCATTGTTCGTAACTGGGAGCTGAAAGAGGAGTTTCCCAGTACATCAACAGGTGTTTCATTTCTTGCTGCACATCACTGAAAGCCAAGGCAAAGCCACAGTACCCCAAATCTAAGTGAAATCTGATTCCACAAGAATTAGCACACAGGGTTTAAATAGACAATTAATTGTATTTTATTATTAAGTTATTTTTTCCTGGTTGTCTGGGGTTTTCTATGTCTTTAATATCTACTTGATATATTCTTCTACAAAGTAAGAAGGAGCAAGTTATATCTATGCCTCAATTGTGTAAGTACAGAAGCCCAAAGAAAATCAAGAACCTTGGAAGAGGACTTTTTATAGTGCTGAAATCTACACTTTGTGTGTTCTGTGTACTGAAATCCACACTTTGTGGGTTCTCTGTGTTGTTAGCAGGTTTCCTAAATTTCCTCCCATATTGCTCCAATACATCTCAGCGCTGTTAAAATGATAAAATTACAAAACTGATACAGTGAGAAGTTGCTTTAGTCTGGCCTGAACAATTTTGGGCTGAAAATGAGAAGAGTATGAACTCTCAGAGATTATGAACTCTCACTCTGGGCACATTTTTGAGATTGTCCATGGAAACTGCTCTTTCAGACCAGCCAGTTAATTAAGCCTGAGGATCCTCAGCTTTGTTATACGTTATATATATATATATATATATATATATATGTGCATATGTTATATGGGATCTCTGTTACATATATACCTTATTAGAATGGTGTGAGAACTAAGAGGAGGAAAAAAAAAGACAAAAGCACTGCATTTTTTCATGTGTGAGTATGGATCATTCTTCTTTCTCAGATTCATAAAGCAAAGGCAAAACCATGTCACCATTTTGAAAGGGGGAAAGGAGCACTAAGACCTTTTTTGCCATGTTTTCCTCTAACTACTATTGCTCTGAATAACCTTTGGCTAAATCTGCCTGTTAGCTGGACTGGAGATCAGCTCTTGCACCATCTCACACTGGATGGCATGAGGCTGTTCTTTCCCAGACTTTTCCAGTGCTTTGGCTTAGATCTCTACAGATCAAACTGGTGCAAAAGTAACTCATTCTTCATAGGATTTCTCCATGGCATAAAAATGCATATGACCTGGAACATGAAATTTTCTGTGTTTGAAAAAAGGGCCAGGTTTGTGGCTGTACAAAGCTGGCTGGTAAGATTTTATCTGCTGAGGAGCTGATGAAGACAATATGTTGGTGGTTACAGCAAGGGCTGATAGTCTGGTTTCTTTCCTAGGTTTCTCAGGGACTCACTAGGGCATGCCTAGGTAGGTTCACTTTCATGTCTGTAAAATGGATTTTTATTTATCTACCTCACATCTTGTTTCAATACAAAACCTTTAATATCTGTGAAGGAATTTGCACAACAGTAGTGTGATATAGTACATGCACTTGTGATAATGGGGAATAACCCTGTAATGGGTTAGGGTTTATATTTTAATTCTAAGAAATCCAAAAGAACAATAGTGAATCAAGCCACTTTTAAAATTTACTATTAACTTACTAATTTAACTAAGACTAGAATTTGCCCCAGTGTCAGATTCTAGAATATTCATAAATAATGACATAAATAGCAACCACAAGATTAAGCAATTAATGAGTTCTTTTTACCACATGAAAGGCCCTGATAGAGACCCTTTAGCTCCTGCTAATGAGAAAAGCAGACAGTTTCTCCCACAGGCAGTCTGTCGGCTTTCTTCAGGCATTTCATGAATTTTGGTCAGAGCACCCATGATACACAGCAGGGGCACAGAATGGCAGAGCCTCTCCTGGGTACAGGAAGATGCCTAGAGCCAGACCAAGGCTGCCCACCTTCTCAGTTTATCAAACTTAGGTGAAAAGGATAAACTTACAGAGTCTTTGGAAACATCATTTTTTTGGCACTTAAAGTTAGTTGCATGAGATTTTCCTCCTTTTCCACATGAATCCACTTTGTGAGAACAGACTTGAGCAGAAGAAAGCCAATTATCTGACAATTTAAAAGGTGGGGGAATTAAAACACTTGCTGAACAATAATGCAACTAATGTTGAATAGCATTCAATTAATATTTATAACATGCAGCAATATTAACAGCAGAATTAACTTTTTTTTTGTATGTCTGACAGCTCTCTAGTTGATTAAGAATTGCATTATGGTACTTTGCATATTTCCCATGCAAATACAGTATTATTTGCAGAATTATTTTTATCCTTAATTGAGGCTTTGTTTGGAAATCACTGTTTTCTCCTTTGCTGAAACTCTGTAAATGATCTTATTAGGGATGTGATTTTTTTCCCTATCACTTTCTCACACAAATTTATATTAAAAATATTTACATATCATATATGTAAAAGTGCAAATTACAGTCTAGTCGGGTTTGCGGAAAGAATCAGTCCAGAGGATGCCTAAGTTCCTCAGGAAATCATGGGAACTGGTGCTCAGCCTCATTCCCATTGGAGACCTATTGCACCTTTGCACAGCTAAGAACTTCATTAAACCTGGTTTTAAGCAGCTTTGTGGAAAGGTGAAGGAAAGGGAAGCAGAGAAAGGGGTTGGAGCAGCCACCTTAGCTCCGTAAGCTCCATGGGGTGTTGGGAGCATCCCCAGCACCATCAGCTTCCCAGGGGCACCTGTGCCAGGGCAGGAGCTGGCCACACCCAGCCTCGGGGACATTTAGCTGCCTGATGTCCTGAGGGTAGCACAGCCAAGTCCAAACAGCCTTCCTGCACCTCTGCTTATCCCAGCAACTTGGCCCATTCCACTTCCCACAGGGAACCATTCTCATCTCTTTTGGGTCAGACTTCCTTGTGCTCCTTCCTGGCCTCAGTTTCAAAACCATGGAGGGATTTCACTGAGTTACTGGCTTAGGACAATTAGGCAGCCAAAACCTAAAAGAAATATGGCTGTAATGGCAAGAACAACTAATAATAATAACTTACTTCATCCAAAATAGAATTTCAGAGGAGGGTGGAAGAGTCCATGACATAAGTAATTTCAGACTTCCCTGGCAAAAGCATGAGGCAATAAACATGTTGAATCCTCTACTGATTCAGTATGATGATATCATAAACTTTTCTTCCTCCAACTCTATGATTCTGTGCTAAAGGTCTGCACTGCTCTAGGAGAGGAAACAGGATAAAGGTGGAGTGAGACAGAGTGAACAGAGAAGGAGGCAGTTTGCTGGTGGTTTAAAATATTTTTCCACCTTCATCATGGTCTGTTCACTTACCTCCAGCTCTGCTTCCAAAAAGAAGGAAACAAAAGGGATGAATGTGACAATGAGAGCTTATCTCTAGCTCTGCTTTCTTACTTTTCTCCTTGGATGAAATTCAGGCTGTGATAAAAAAAAGAAACAAAACCCATCTTCCTGTTGACAGTTTTTCACACACTCCAGAGACAGCCAGGATGGCATGTTTTGGATCTACATCTGTATTTTCATGCTCTTTTGGCACTCCTTTTCTTCCAAGCAATTTACATTATTTTAGATTCTGTAGAAACAATAACTACCAAACTATTTGGAACTATTCTATTAAAGAATAATAATCAGATTTTCTATAAATCATAGTAAAAAAAAGCTCTAAGGAAGAAAAGGAAATCAATTCACCCTGGCAGACAAGTATAAACTCAAAAGAGCTGAATTCATGCCCTGCTCTGTCAGAAACCTCATTTTTGACATTGG